GTGAGGGTGAAACTGTGAGTCAGCTAGAAAAGTATTATATTTTTATTATATATTATAAATGTGTTTGTTTTGTTTCTGTTCAACAACTTGTTCCATTATTTTTAATAGTAGGTAAACTATTCATATTTGATTACCAAGCATATTATTATGTTTTTAATATACACAACGTTCCTTAAACCAATGTTTAATGCCTGTGAAAAAATCCATCGCAAAAACCGTTTTGCATTAATAAAAATGAAAATTACCATAATACATTTGTTTCTAGAAAGAACATTAATTTCCTGAATTCAATTACTTACCGCAACATGAACACAATATCAAGTTTCAATTTAACATGACGTGCGGTTTGTTGGTTGACGTGAACAAAAAACGATACACGACGCGTTTCTATTGAATTTGTGTCACCGACAGAGTGATAGGTAGTATTTCAGAAAGAGGTTTATACTGAGTTTATCTTTTTATGGAATGGTTGTTCTGAGTAGACAAAAGCATAAGTATACTTTTCTAGTAGCCGTAGTAGTAGTACTACTAGTCTCCTTGACGTAATAAAGATGATTTGTCTTAATCTCCACGGTTGATCAGCGGGTTGGTGATTATAAATGCTTTAGTTTAAAATGTTCAAGTTAATTGGTGTGTGCTACTCCTGTCTCTAGTACATTCTAGTCGGTTCATGTGACATCAGCAGAAAGAGTAGAAGAGCAATTTGTAAGAAATATAAACATACTTTAAAAACGACTACGACAACGACTCTTTAGCCGCCTACATTTCTAGACTCAGAATTGACTTGATTTGAAATATAATAAAACCTTTTCTCAATCGGAAATTGAATTCACGATTCCATACACATGACTCCAAAACACTTAAAACAGAAAATCAAAACCAATATACCACTGCTTCTGAAATAAAAAAGAAAAATCTTTCAGAATGGTTTCTATTTCATAAAAGATAATAAAACTTCGCATATTGCAGCAATGCTGTTAAAGCTCTTGTGTGTGTGTCTGCGAGGTGTAAATCAGTTTAGCTTGGCAGTTCTGCATAGAGAGCAGCTTGTTTAACATGCTATTGCAGTATGACCTTTGAGAGAGACCGTAGTTTTACATTCATATAAATCAAGTTGTTCTGATCAATAATCACAGCGTCACTGTAATAAATAACTGCACGGTTGGCGCAGTGTTTGGGTAACCGGCTGGTGTGTTTGTCGTGGGTTCGATTGCTGCGTCGTCGTGCAAAAAGTGATAATGGCATGTTCTGAATAAATTTACCGTAATTAACCCGGAATCAGATAGTTTTGCGGTGTTTTCATCCTTGTGCCTCGGAAGGCACGTATCGCTGTTGGTCCTGCGCCTGATTTCTCTCCGTTCGTGTTGGTCTGTCGTCTCATCGTGTTCAGAGAGTAAGGGAACAAAGAGTGCACTTGTGTTTGCGCACATGTGCACTATAATTACTTCTCTTTTTTTATATACAACATGTAACGTAATTAACGCACACCCTCAAACACCCCAATTAGAATATTATGTTATAATTATAATACTACTCGCCTGCTGCGGCTACTATCTCGCCTGGTGGTAAGCGATGATGCGGCCTACCATGGAGCACGTCTGCCCATAAGCAACCTATTCACTCAGATACCTAATCGATCGCGAGGATTTAATAAATAAAATTATGATACCTAATGCTAAATGACGATGATGTATAAGTTTCAAAACTCCAACGAGTAAAACCTAACTGATAAATATTATCAAGTTTCATCAACTAAACAATCAGTAGACTAATTCATCGAATCATTATCAGGTCATGACCGTCAACCTTGAGACGTAGCAAACGCTGCCAAAACAATACCACAAGGTAAGGCGATGCACTTTAGTTTTAACCCTTCTACACGTAACGACGTGACCTTGTGTGCTAGCTGCTATTTATGAAACTGTTCAATGTTAACCATTTGTGATTACATAGATTCTATTATTGCATTTGTCGTTTACTGCAGTAACGTTGTGATGGTTCACTGAAACAAAGTCTAGAAAGAGCATGAACGTGAAATCTCGATAGAAATAATAGATGTTATTTAAGTATTTTATTAAAAGTAGAGATGACCTATTTTAAGTTGTATTATGATAACATAATACAACTTAAAATAACATAACATCACCACGTACTTTACGGCACTTAATGCCAATATACAATGTAACACCCACTTCTCACTATTTATGTTATGAGTCCCAGGTAATAGTAGGTGAGTCTATTGCCATATACAGGGCACATTTCCGGACTCCGTGCTAATACTGAGATTTTATTGAAAAACCCAGTAATACTTTGCCCGACCCGGGAATCGAAACCGAGACCACTTGCCCGGCAGTCGCACTTGCGACCACTCGGCCAACGAGACAACGAGAAACTTGGAGCACAGAGTACATACAGACAAAACCTTAAAACACAGTCTTATAATAAAAATTCCAAGCCATACGTTTCTTACAAGCACGCATTGGCATCTAAACTATTACGACAAGCAGCCTTTCCTTCAAATAAAAATCCAAGTCACCATTCACCTATTTTGTTGGGACCCCATTTGGACGTTAATGTCACGTAACTACCCCAAATATCATGACCCTAATACCCTCAACCTGTTGGTTGGGCACTCGTAAGGCTCTTTTCACACGCTCCGTTTGTCGGCGGCAATGTTAATTTATTGGCCAGCATGACGAAGATGCCCTTTTCTGTTTTTATTAGATTTTTAAGTGTATTTTTTGATATGAATTCGAAAATGGACCTAATGACAAAATTGACCAATTGGAATAGCCTGCCGCCAGACACTGGCTTGTGAGACTGAGTTTTTACATCTACCAGTACTTTCACCGTTGGATACCTGGCATTGGCTATCCGGAAAACGGAGGGGAAAACCGTAGAGGAGACCTTTAGCTCTTTTCTATGATGTTTGTCTCTCTCGTGTTTCTCTCTGTATGACCCTAAGGTTGACTGTTAGATAATGCCACTAGGCATCAACATGTTCACGCTTGCCAGGCTTAGATCATAATTCAAGGTCCGGTTAATCAAATACCTTAAGATGACCACTGCTGAACATAAACCTAATACGGTTCGTGGTGGTGGTTGAGCAACTGGCTGCGCGCATCGTGTCGCGGGGTCGATTCCCGCACGGAACAACTCTTTGTGTGATCCACAGATTGTTGTTCCGGGTCTAGGTGGGATGTGTATGTGAACTTGTATGTTTGTAAACGCACCCACGACACAGGAGAAAATCCTAATGTGGGGCAACGTTTTTAAAAAGTGAATTTGTTTCGTCGTTTTTTCTCAGAGTCGTAAGTTAGGCCCTCATCTATGTAGTAGTTTAAAGATTGACATGTAAAAGTGTTACCTTGTAACTTATTTGCAGAAATAATAATATCATCATTTCATATCATCACTATTTCCATAAAGGTATAATCATTAGGCCCTCCCCTAATATGTATCACATCAACAGCCTATACTGCCCACTGCTGAGCAAAACCTCTTTTCACACGCAGAAAGTTTGAGCATTAATCACCACAGTTGCTCAATGCGGGTTGGAGATTTCTAACTTATAATTTAGAAATTATATAAGCCCAGATTTCCTCACGATGTTTTCATTCACCGTTTGTCATTGGTGTGTAAATAATCTTAGAAAGTACATATAACTCGGAAAAAGTCACATTGGTACTTGCCGTTGGTAGGTTTCGAACACGTACCCTCATGCATGAGAAGCGGGATTCTTAAGCCCCCGGGCCACTACGACACTATTAAATTATACCTTCATGGAAATAGTTTGAGTTGGGATCAAAATTTAAACTTTGAAGGGCTAGTGGAGCAACTGTTTGAACCTTTGTATTAGATAAGGGTACTGATAAGATACGTCTGGAGTATTCTAGATATTAGTTAATAGTGGAGACTTAAGTTAATTGAATCTTAATGTTTAAAATACTTTTAAGCATGCGGTAACTTAGGTGTCTGGGAAATCTGTTAAAAAGTAGTTTAAGTAAGTAAGTACAGCTTGGCTAAGAGTTTGACATGGTGATAGCTTAAGTAAAAACGCGGGTTACTCACGTGAATATACTGAGAAAAGCTCTACTAGTTTCGAACCACAGAGGGGTTCTTCCTCATGAGCAGCGTGCGCGGTCGCGGCGACGTCGAGCTAGTAGAGCTTTTGTCAGTATATTCACGTGAGTAGCCCGCGTTTTTACTTAATTTAGTATGTCTCACGATAGCTATTATAAAAACATGGTGATAGCTCTAACTAATATTAACTTGAACTGAATCATCCCTTTTGGACCATACCCAATAATATAAGATCATCCGAACATAGTACCTCTTCTTTTTAAACTAGATAAAAATATGAAGTATCCAAATCGGTTGAGTCGTAGTGTACCAGTTTATCACAGGTACCATACAAGCGCCCTCAAATATTACAATCTTTTTTTGCCAAGATGGAGTTTATGTTATTTTTTGTAAAGAAATTAATTTTGAATGATAACCTATGAACTGGTTTTAAAGTTGAGTCAAGTATATTTATTAATTTATTTGTTCAACCGAGTATACTCGTTATTATTTGACTAACTGCTAGGGTAAGGGCTATAATGATAATGATATGTCTTAACATAACAGAATAAAATAACTAGAACTATAATTAAATCAATAAAAATTTGACAATTAATTATTGTTTTCGGCTTACTCACGTAATATTTTGACGAGGAACTCGACTAGTTTCGACTAACAGCAGCGCGACAGTCGCCGCGTCGCGGGTCGCGAAATGCTGCTCATGAATATGAGCCTCTAGCATGGACTAATACTAGTCGAGTTCCTCGTCAAATTATTACGTGAGTAAGCTGAAAACATAATAATTTATTTAGTATATCTTACGAAATTTATAATACAAAAATGTGACAAGTTACGAATCTTTCCAGTTTCAATTCGGAAGGGCCATTTTAACATAGTGTTGCATTAAAATATTAATATGTCTTTTTGTTTGTCCACAGTGATGCATTTCGAGTGTTATGGCAACGTTGCAGTAACGTACTGACAGTTAACTGAGAATTCAAAATGGCGGAAGCGGAGGGAGGAGCAAGCGAGCAAGATGATGTTTCATTCTTGCGTACGGTAAGTCAGTTCTTATCAGTTTATATATTTTTAAGGCATAAATCACGCGTTGAGCAAACGAGAAGCAACTGGAGCTGTGAATAACAGAAAAATATGATATGAAATGCATTTTTAAAATACCGTAGCTACTACTAAACCTTTCGAGAGGTAGACCTTGGTGAGGAGATTCAGAATCAATGTTTGTGTTCCGTATAAAACTATGTACTGTTACACATGCCCCCCCCCCCTTCTTTTTTGTTTTTTTTAGGTGGAGAAAATCATCGAATGGCTCCCGCCTGGGTCAGGCGAAAGGGAGTGTCAGACTCTTACTGACTAAAAACCACCCCGTTCCTTCTCATGCACGTCGAGCCGGAGCTCCGGTTACCCGTTAGGTTCTCCGCGACTCCGAATCGGCAACAGCCCTATTGGGCCCCATCTGTGGTGGTCTGATGGCTCTTTGAGCATTATAAAAATAGCATGTTAAAAAGCGTTCAATTGAGCATGCTCAAAAATGTTTAAAAATTGAACGCCTGTCGCAGTGAGCTTGCTACTAAGTGACAAGTGATCAATTGACGCATGCTTTTTAGTACTTGAAATTACCATAATGTAACTGGAACTTAAGGGTCAATCCCATACACTGAGTCTCCTAAACACTAGATCCACTAGCGTTTAAATAAATGATTTAAATGTCATTTGTGTTGGGAAGCAGAGACATTCTTTTAAACTTTACTTATTATAGATGTTTTAACTAATAAATTTAACAAGTTGAAAAGGAAGTTTTACTTTCTTTGTTGTAATTAAAAAATGAAAAAGATAGCAATTCAGCATCATCTTTGTCGGCATCAGCCGCAAAACGTCCATTGCTGGACATAGGCCTCCACCTTAGTCCTTCAAGTCGTACGACAACTCCCCACCTGCATTCAATAGCTTCTCACAATTCTGACAATGTTGTCGGTCGACTTAATTTAAATAAAATATAAACATGCAAATCTGTTCCGAAGTTTATCCATCACGTCAGAGTAACATCAGTTTAATATGATTAACGGCTCCCGCGGCAATAAACAGTGTCGAACTGTCGATAACTGCTAGTGATGTGCTTACGATGACATTATCGATAAGACTGTGTCGATAAACTTCCTAAATGATGGCCATTAGGGGTTGTATTCTAAACTGGCGTTGGATACTTAGTAACGTTGTTTTTTTAAGAAATTAGGACCTCGTTGATCTAATAGTCGTAATCAAGACTGTCAATCACGAGTAATGTGCGTTCAATTCTAGAGTATAAGAAATGTTAATTGTAGATCTGTGGATGTCAAAATTCTATTTATTAGCACAGTAACTGTTACCTTGAAGGTTAGCTGAAGTGCTCTTGGCTTGATCATTGTGTCGCGAGTTCGATTCCCGCACAAGAGTATAGTTTGTGTGATCCACAAATTGTTCCCGGTCATGTGAATTATGTGTTTGTAATGCCGGTACCATACATGTACCCGCGATACAGGCCAAAATACTAATGTGAGACAATGTTTAAAAATACACCCCAGTCTATTCAAAATCATAATACCTACCTCGTCTACTAAAAGAGGTATCGAAGTCAAAGTCAAAGCATTTATTCCAACAAAATCATAAATAAGTACTTTTGAAATATCAACAAATAAAGATAAAATAATAGTCATTCAGTCTGTCCGTCAGTAAAGCTAGGTGCATATATCCAAAGTATATTATAGTATAATTATTGGAAAGTTAATAAC